TAAAATACAACAATGCAGAAAGACAAAGACAAAGACAAAGAGCCCTTTATTTGGAAACACCTATCCACAATCAGTTCTGCGCATGTTGTTTCTCCCACATTAAACCTGAAGGTCCATTAAAAGGTCAGGGCAGGGTTCACCATCTGACCCCGTGCATGTTGTGTAAGGGTCAGATGAGGGGGAACAGAGAACACAATGGGACACAATGGCCCGGGCTTTATCCCACTGCTGCCACTCTCCATTCAACACTTCCTGGGTATCTGGTGTTACGACCACGCTGGACCTCGGTGGTTAACGTCTCTGCCGAGGTTTCCAAGTGTAACAAACGGACGGAGGACAAACACACGGAGGGAAGCGTGCAGCGCCAGAGCCCACATTCCCCCTACAGGGCTGAGGTGTTATCAGCAAGGGGGGGGGGCACAGGGGGGGGGGGGCACAGGAAGCCGGCTTAGTGTTGCTGTGTGATTGGAGCAAAAACCTCAGATATGTTTGAGCTGATTCCAATCCAAAGAAAAAGGTAGAAAAAACATATCAAAGCTCAGGCGTCTCTACAGATTTGGACTTGAAATGTTCTGTTGTGGTATATAGATTTTTGAGGAAAAAAAAGGTTTTATTTGCAGTCGTTTATGAGTTACTATTGTTTTGGAGATGAATAATTCAGTGTTCAGTAGAATGTGATGTGTGACTTGAATGAGACATTTCCATACTAATTTCTGTACTAATTTCTAATAAGTATATCAATTTAGCCGAGTTCTGAATTAAATTACAGTCAAGCTCATTCCCATCACATTTCTTGAAATTGTTCATTGGTGCCTTTGCCTAAAGTAAATACAAAATGAAGAGTTTGACAAAAATCTGAAAATAAAAAAGTCTGAAATGCTTTGTACAAGTCTTAACCATAACCCAAAGACACATTTCAGTACTTTCAGTTACATGCTGGTAAACCTAATTCAATTAAGTGATTTTGATTGAGTTTTTAGCTATATTCAAATGCTTTTTACATTGATTCTACACTGACATATTATTTTTATTTTGAAAATAATAAAACAAATAAATGCTTTATCTAATAGTAAAGAATAGGCCTAACTTCCTTTCTTTATCTATGAGTCACTGCAACTGTAAACTAACAACCATCTCTGCTCCATGACTATCTAACGTGTCATCAACACGTCCGTTGCAATGTTTGTTTATTTCCAATAATCCGAAAGCCCATTTACAAGTGTTGTGTACTTCATGTTGCCAGTTGTTTGAGCGCCTGAGGCCTGTGGCCTCTGCCTGGTGGTTGACGGCAGGAGACGCTATCACGTTCGATCAGACAGGAGGATATTTGTTGGTACTTGTTGGCCGCCTGTCCCACTGTCTGGTAGCAGTTAGAGCAGTGAGAAAACCCCCCGCACCTGCCTCTGTTATAATGTAAACACCTCGCAAGGGGAGCAAAGGAGAGATTAGAACAAAAGACCACGCTGCTCTTATCAGGCATTTTCATAGCAGGAATCATAGCAGATAGAGCCAGACCCAAGCCAGACCCTGGACCACTCGCATTGTTTGATGGTGTATCGCCACAGCTTAGCTGTGTACCAAGAGCAGAATGTTGTTTTTCACACTCTAAAACTGAAGAAGCAGATTCTTGAAAATGGAAAACAAAAGCCTGACCGAATCCAGTTAAAAACAGGATTTGCAGTTTAGTACTTCCAAAGCTTTGGTTGTCATAAAATAGATGACACAATAGAAACTATCAAAAACTATCATTTCAGCTTCTCTGACTAAGGGCTGTCTGGGGACCTTTTCCTTTTCACCTTTGAAGTCAGTCACGATTAGTTTAAAAACATTTGTAGTTAGGATTTTAAAATCAATTGGTTTGACTTAAGATTGCTGGCATATTGTAAAGTAAAGGCAAAAAAACTCCCGCAGCAAAGTAAATTGTTTCCTTGCAAGACTGAAGTGCTTTTAGCATGGCAGCAAGATCAAGGTGCCACAGAGCCAAAACCCAGGAAAAAGCCAGTGTTTGATGTAAAAGTTCAACATGAGCCGCCAACTTAAGATTTTGCAAGTTTCTTTGATAAAAGTACAAAGATTCCTCTTTTATTTTGCATCATCAAAAATTAACTACTTTCTTTAGAGGAATAAAAAACCTGGGGTCATTTATCAGAGAAAACATTTAGATTTAGAATCGCTCTTTCGGTATGGAATGATTTTCTCAGCTTCCACAGACCGGAGCCGGGAACGAAAAATGGAAATGTGCCAAACGGGGGGCTCGGATTTTGAGAATCCCGCCTCAGGTTAAAAGACAATGAACTCTAGCAGGCTTTGATCTGCGTTCATATCCAGGCAGAATAACGATGGCTCCTTTCACCACAGCTAATGATGTCTGTGGTGCGTTAGCACACTGCGGAGGGGGATTTGCAGCCACGCGAACACCTTTAATGAGTTTTATTTGTTTTATTTTATCCCCTTCCACCTCCTACTCACCTTAGCACACGGAGTAATGATGAAGGAAGGGTACTACAGGATAAGAACCGGCCCTATCCATACTTCCATGGGGCTAATTATCTAACCCTCTGGAGGATCATTTTAGCTTCATCTGAAGCAAAAGGGGCTTTTTGTGCTCTCCTAACACCTAATTCTATGTAAAATTATATTATTGTGAATGGGAGGCATTTCAAAACATTACAAACCATAGAATTTTGTCTTTAAATCACCTGACTGTTTGATTGAGGTGAGATTCTGACCTATGTGTATTTTTCCATCGGAACCATGAAGTCATTCGCTTTTACGCGGATGTGGGGTTATTTTTTGGGGTTTAGCATCGTGGCCTTATAGCAAAGGGGTTCCCTGGGAATCCCCGGCACACTGGGGGGCTTTTTGTATTTGCATGTTCTCCTTGTTTAGGTGTGGGTTCTCTCAGTGTACCCTGGCTTCCTCCCACAGCCCAAAAACATGCATGATAGATTCATTAAAGACTCTAAATTGTCCTGTAGGAATGAATGTGTGCAGGCGTGTGACTTTTTTCCACGCCTCAACTTCACTTTAATCCGTCTGCCCCTCTTCAGACCCTCACAGGTCCTGATTACTGGTGGAGGCGCTGCCTGGAAAGCGTGTCCTTTAACAGTATCGGTCACTGCACCTCCCTGACAATACACTGGGTATCTCACTGCCGGATGGCGGGTCCCAGCCCAACGCCTCCTCATTAAGCATATGTCTCATTTTCCATTTCAGACGAGCGATAGCGTAGAAGTGCGCACAAAAGCACTATTTTCAGGCCCCTTCGACTCATCCCCTCTGAAAGTCTAATGAGAGCAGATCAAATATAACTGACACCGAGGGGAGACAAAGGGAGATGTAGCGCTGGGTGAGAGATGGGGAGAGGCAGAAACAATGGACCTGAATATGCCGTCACTGCAGCGGTTTGGAGCAGGACCACAGAATGCAGATGATTCTGTAATGAGGGATTAAGTGGTGGATTATGGGTCTTTATTAAGATGTTTCTGATCCTCATTAGGCTGAATCTTGTATCAGGGCATCGATTCCCAGCTCGCCTGCTGGATTGCCTGTTCTCTGGAGGAGGAAGAGAGGAAAAAGGAAACGCGAGTGATAAGATGTGGCTATAAAATGGTTTTCCGTGGCACAGACACTATTAATATATAAGATCAGCAATTAATCACACATTTATACCAATTTTTATTCATTTATATAATTTTCGAACTTGCTGAGGTAAGGCAAACTTCTAGTGTAAAGTTCTAAGCTCTTCAAATACTAAAGTTGGAATCTATGTTTCCATTTTAAAATGCCCTCATCTTGATCTTGTTTTCTTTTTTTTACATTTCTGAGGTCTCAACATTGTTGGGTTCGGTGCGGTTATTATCCAGCTTGCTCTGAAAGTTTCATCCTTCTGGGTAATTTTACTGTTTTGTTGTTTCTTTATTTCCAGAGAGCATGACTGCGGGAAGCATTTCGTAAACTCAGGTGGGCCAAAAGCCATATTGGATGTCATCGAAGTCAGTTGGTAGCAGTGTTGATGTAAGCGGAGAATCTCAGCTATTCCAATATTTATTCACCACTGCCCTCGTTTCTGATGAAACACCGTAGACATAACAGTTTTATATCCGCTCAGATTTAGACTAAACCTCCTCCAACTGTCTTATTACAACAGGAAGGGAGCAGCAGAGCTCCTCAGATGGAAAACAAAAGGTTTGCTTAAATAGCCAAAAGCCCCAGTGGCCAAATCCACCCTCACCCGACTTTTCTCTGAAGGAGCAGCCATCCCTCCTTCCAACCAAACACTTGTTGCTCTGCCAGTCAGTGTGTCTCAGTGTGCACCTAAAAAGATCATTAGATTTACATAATAGAGAATAGAGAATAATTCCAGATAATATCTCCTTTGCTGTTGCCCATCTGTGAGGCTCATTCTTTCTGATACAGGCTGGAGTGGAAACGAGCATTCACACTAAATCAGCTCTGATTCGGCAAACCAAACAGAGAACACGGTCACTTTATAACATTTTGATGATCTTGTTATCTAAATTGGCCGACAGTGATGAACCTGTGCTGCGATCTGCCTGAGGTGGGTCACAGTTTTGTCCAGGTTTGTCTGAAAACTGGCTTCTCAGCGTAGCGACTACACGACACTGCCACCTGGTGTGAATCCATTCATAGTAGACTGTAAAATGTTGGTCTGCTTGGTCTTAGTTTTACGTTTGGGAGTACTTAATGGTCATTTAAGCTCAGCACATCCATAAGCAAACAAGATGGAACCTTTGATGAGGTCATAGCCAACCGGTAACTCCAATTACGTTGTACTCAAGTCCTTAGAAGGAGGAGACCTCCAGACTTTGTTGGCAGCTGACGGTGAGTTTAGATTAACGGAACTGAAAACGGTCTGAAGTTTTATCGTCATTGTGCTATACTCGATCTTGTTGCATGTGGCGGGCAAAGGAGGTGAGTGATGACCAAGATCTTGTTTTAGTTCAGTTTATGACAGCTTTATTAAGTGCAAAGAGAGTCTAGTAGCAGGAGTCAGTGATGCGCCTCATGCTCATGAAGTTCATGCCGCTCATTCCCATGTTCATGAAGCTCCTGTACTCGCCGGGCCTCATGTACATCATCCTGCCTCTGTAGTGGGGCTGCTCGTACATCAGCCAGTGGCCGTCCATCACGTTGCAGGACATGCAGTTGGACATGCGGTAGCGGTCCATGATGTTGTCGCAGTCGTCCATCATCTCGTACATCTGGCCTCCGAAGTTCTCCCTCTCGTAGATCCTCATCCTGTAGTTTCCCCTGTACTGTGGGGGCAAGCACAGGCAGCTCAAAATCAGGAGGTTCTGCGCTAGATACTGGCAGCTAGCACGGCGCCGGGGTGAGTATTTACCATGGGAATCATGCGGCAGGACCGGATGGTGTCGCTCATGCTCATCATGCTCATGTAGTCAGCGTACTCGCCCCTCCTCAGGAAGTACTGGTTGCCCATGTAGTTGGTGCGGTCGTACACCATGAAGCAGCCTCTCTCCACCCTGCAGGAGTGGCACCTGCTCAGGTAGGAGGACATGTCGGGGCAGTCGCCCATGCACTCGTAGGAGCGACCCTGGAAGTTCCTGTCCTCGTAGAAGACGACCTGGGGGAGGACAGAGTTTGGTTAGTCCAAGCATACTTTAACAAAAGTCGTTGCGGTCTTCCATCGGAATTGCATTTTTAGTGGTGTTTAATTCAGTTTCGAGCTCCTCGATATTATTTATATTCATTTTGACTGTGCTAGTTTACTACCAATGTTTGTCTGCCGCCGGGTGTTGGATTTGAAGTATTTTTCTAGCTTTTTGATAAACGAGCTAAACTGATCAAGCTGCTAACCCCCAAAAAACAAAACAAAAGAAGTGGGTGGGAGTCACTGCGAATATGAAGAAATTCTCTGTGTAAAACATCTTTAACAAATGAAAAGAGTGTTCACCCCCTAAAAAAAAACAGAAGTTTGCGGCCATTTGGATAATTTCTTTTCGATTAGTTTAAAGAACCATAATGCAAAATCAATGTGAAAATGCAAATTTACCCTGCTCATCATGTTCATTCCAGAGGAAGTCATTTTGCTGGTCAGTTGGCTGCTGCTGCTGGAGCTGCTGCTGTTCTTGCTCTTGCACTAAACTGTGTCCTACTTGAATTTGCCCTTTCCTTTTATACTGGACCCACAGACTGACCCCTTTGTTCAGAAACCCCCTGAGCCAGCAACAGTGCCATGGAAATGTACAGAATATGTAGCGTTTGTCCACGTTTTCCAGCAGCAGTGGGTTCAAAGATCCTTTCAGGGACTGCTTCTCGTACAATGCCGGGATCACCGGGAGGGTGAAAGGGTCGACAATCACAGGTCACACCTTGGCATTGTTCATTCAGGGTGACACAATGTTTGTCAGCAAGGATATTTAGTCTGTTGTCTTCTTTTGTTCTTTATGCGGTTTGCTGTTAGGACAATCACTATCTTTTCCATGTTGCAATGCATGTGGGAAAAGAGCAATCATATTTTATTAACAGTTGAACAGACGGAAAAAAAAGAAAAAAAAAAGAATTAAGAAACTAAACTATTATGTGTGGAAAACATGATAGAAAACAATGAAGGAGAAATGAGGAATAATTAACATGTCATAAAAAGATCATTTATAACTATGTACAGATGGCAATTCATCAGCAAACAACAAAAAACTGTTCAAATGTAAATAAAACATACGGTAGATTAATTTAGCAGAGAGTGGCAAGAAACGGCAACAGAGGCAAAACACTTAAGGCTCTCTCATGTAAGTTTTTAAAGAGTGTGACGTCACCTGATGTTAAAACAATGGCACAAATATTTCTAAATTTCTATTTCTAGATTTTCTATTCATCAGTTCTAGCGTGAAAATGGAGAGAAAAATCTAGACAAAGATAAGGGAATTTGTCAACAGAGTTGTTTATATTTTCCCAGTTTACCATAACTGAATATAGGCGTTATTAAGCGTCTATCCAAGGTCAGTTCTTACTTTTTAACCCATAAGAACCCAGCGGGACACAAGTGAAACTGAAATTGATTATTCAAAAAAAGCCAGTGTACCCTGGGAAACATCACAAATCGTTGACAGGTGATGGTGGTATGTTTTTAATGTGATATATGGGGGCTCATTTGTTATATTTTCTGTTTCCTGTCATTTTTCTTGAGGTAAAAATGGACCTGGATTCTAATGGGTTAAGTTCTATACACTGTGAATGGCCTCTCCTGCTTCAGTCTTAAGACAGACCTCAGCACATCTGAACCATAATCTTATAGTACCACCTACTAATCCCCTCATTTTTCTCAGGACGTAGCTGTAATGTAGCTTCTCCACAGAGGGGGGCGCTGTGGTGCTTTTTAAAGATTCTCTTGGCAACAAAATCAGTGTTGTGAAACGTTGCTATGGAAGTCACAGAGCTACTTTGAAAGTAGGTAATTTGGCATGAGTATTTTATTTTTGCTGACTGTGTTTGACTCTGTAACTTGACAGACTTGTGAAGTTACACTTCACCCACTCATTAATGTAACTATGAAAACGGCCCCTTTAAACGGTGGTTAGCTAAGCTAGTGTGCATAGCTGCTTTTTAGTTAGCATTTTAGCTCGCGAAGTCCTTATTACGGCAGCCAGTTAAGTATAGAAACTTAGCAAATGAAACCCCGCATATGCAAACGTAAGTTTTTGGGGTAGGGTAGATGTTCTATCCGTTGAAAGCTGATGAATATGTAAACTCATGTTTTTTTTTCTGATTTCATACTTCGCGAGATACCGTTAACTGAGCTAGCTCGCGCTGTTTTGTGTCCGTTCGCATCAGTATTTCAGTTAAACAGCTCAGAACTAAAATGTAATCTCTTAACTGCTCATGTTGCATGTTCAGACAAAACCAACTACGAGAGCTGTGTCTGTCATAGCCCCTTTTTTTTAAGAATGGGACAGGTCAGCCGTTTAATAGACTTTTTACATTCAATCTGTGGCTAAACTCGTTTTTCTATCGTTCATCTGCAGGTGGTTTGAGCTTTAGTGATGAGAGAGCTTTATCCATCCGACCATTGCCGGTCTCAGACATGAGGACAGAATGACAGAAATTGGAGAGGAAGGCGCCCTTCACCCTCAGGGCTGGAAGGCTGCTGATCGTGGAGATGCAGCTCATGGCAAAACGCTCGGGTCTTCCCCAAAAGACGTCAACCCGACCCAGAAGCACAATGCTGATCTTAAACTTGTTCCTAAAAATGCAGAGGAAGAGATCGCTTCATTCAAGCCTCGGCCCCCCGTTCAGCCCAGGCTGTCAAAGCTCAGCAAAAGTGTCTCGGCCGAGGAGACCCTACGACCCAGGAGGCTGAAGAACAGCCAGGAGAGCCTGAGTGACCGAGCTGAGACCGGCTCCTCCACCGACTCGCTGAAAGAAGACCAGACCTGTCCAGGCGGGTTTGCGTCTGCCCGTACACCTGGTCTCTGGGATGGCCAGGACTCGAGACCCCTGGCTGCTATCGCAACAGGCCCCCCAGTCCTGCAGCAGTCCGAGCAGGACGGGAGTGACCGGTCAGACCACCGGGGGAGGCCCACCAAGGTGCGGCTGTCTCCGGTGCAGCCAACAGGGCCGCAGCCCGCTCTCAACAAGAACTTTGAGTCAGCCACTTTAAGGGCGGCTAATAGGATTGGCAGGGATTGTTTGGATTATGCCGTGCTGGCCAAAGAGAAGTTTGGAGAGAGACTCCACAGGAATCTGAGCGACAGCCGCCTTCTGGAGGACATGCAGTCGGATAGTGGCTCTGTGAGCTCCATGAAGTCTATCTACAGCGTTCTAAGCCCCATCAGACCCCAGGATGTAAGAAACAGGTACAGTGGGCCCAACAGAGCATGTAGATGATGGACCTGGAGTCTTCTCAGGCTGGGCGTTAAGGCTCTTATTCTTTCTGGTTATGTGTTGGTATAGATTTAGATCAGTAACACCACCAACACATCCACATTTAGACCTGAAGTTTTTGTTTTGGACTTTTTAGTTGAGTATAAGTGTCTTATGAGTGTGCAATTTACTGACTTTGGCCTAAGATTATCTCTTCTAGGCCACACGTATATAATACTTGTTCTTTACAGTAGTTAAGAATTATTTATTGGATCTAATATCCACTCAATCTGGTCTTAGTATGTGTTCCATCTTTTTGGTGGAGTCGATTTGAATAGAACATCTGGACCCTGGTTTAAAGCTGTAAGAGGGTGTCATTTTTGCTTTTCCTTTCTTTTACGAACATCTCTTTGAAAAAGAGAGGGGCAGATTGGCACAGGATCAGAGACGATGCTTGTTGAGCACAGTCTCTGTTCCAGGTGGTAGCAAAAAGGAGTCACAGTCTGTAGTTGTAATGTCAGCTCATCTGTGGCAGGACTACTTTGAGCATATCCTGAAAAAACTAGTTCCAAATGTCTTTTTTTCTGTCTGACTCCTGCCTTCCAGGAGTTTCCTGGAGGGCAGTTTGCTGGGCAGCGGCGCCCTGCTGGGGGCTGAGGAGCTGGACCGCTACTTCCCCGACAGGCGGGTCGGCATCTACGTGGTCACGTGGAACATGCAGGGGGGGAAGGTGGGGGGAGCCACCGGTCCCAAAGCCTCCGTGCTCGGGCAAAGATATGGTCCTAACCCAATTATTGTCATCCACAGTTTCTTCCGGCCAACTTGAACGATCTGCTCCTTCCAACCGACTCTGAATTCGCCCAAGACTTTTACGTCATCGGGGTCCAGGAGGGCTGCCCTGACAGGTGGGCCTGGCTCCGTCGTGAGCTACGCTGAGTGTCCCTGAGGGCAGTAAAGTTGGTTGTTTGACTCTGTGTGCGTTCATGTGTGTTCAGGAGGGAGTGGGAGACCTGTCTGCAGGAGACTCTGGGACCTCACTACGTCATGCTGTACACGGCTGCACATGGAGTTCTGTACCTTACTGTGTTCACCAGAAGAGACCTCATGTGGTTCTGTTCAGGTTTGTCTCGGCTCTCTTCAGGCATCCTTTCAGTCTGCATAGACACCTAATTATGTGTTGGAATTTTGTCCTAAAAGCAGATACCAACTTTGAATGTTTCATTCCAGGCTTTTAAAAAATGTTGGTAAAAGAGTCTCAAGTGTGTTTATTTTCTTAACCAGCTCTCTGATGAGCTACACAAATACTCTGTGTAGCTCATTAAGGACACAACTGAGCCACAACAGGGTTTTAGATTCTATTCCCTCTTACTGAGGACGTGATTACTTTTTAAGCTGAATCTTGAAAACAGGGTGAAGAGTGAAATAATCTTGCATGGTTTCAGCCAGTCCAGATCACTGAACATGCGATGGCTGAGGAATAACATCTTTGTGGAAGTGTGTGTGTAAATAGACATATCTATGCATTGATTGTAGCTGCCTTTCTTTGATGATATCCTTCTTCTTTATGGGTCACTCTCCATTTTATTACTGCCTCTACTATTGTGCACGAGTCAGTTCCAGTGTCATTGAAAGTGTCCAAAATCCTTCAGCTGCTTCCATTCTCAAAACTGATTTAAGCAACTAAGAAAGAATAATAAGTACTTTCATATTGCCCCATCTATAGTATTGTTTTTATCTTCCATATTAGAGAGAAATTATGTCTAGAATACATGATATTTAGACCGAAATGCATGTTATTTTTTTATTCAGCTTCAGATTATATGTGAGTAGAAATGCCTGTAAATAAGTAATATGTCAATGTTGAGATGCTGGATCCTCTGTCTGTACTGACTGAGCCTAGTGAGAAAGGATTTCATGTCTCAGGTGTTTCTTTGCTACACAAAAAAACGCTTCTCACTTTCTCTTGCGGACCCACACAGAGGTGGAGCATTCCACCGTCACCACCAGGATCATCTCCCAGATCAAGACCAAAGGGGCCGTGGGTATCGCCTTCACCTTTTTCGGGACCTCCTTCCTCTTCATCACGTCCCACTTCACCTGTGAGTAGGAGTGTCCTGTTGTCTGGGCGATGGTTTCTCTCACCAGGAAGTCTCTTTTCCCGCCTTCTACCGTCTGAACGCGTCCCTCTGTTGCCCCCCCAGCCGGAGACGCCAAAGTTTACGAGCGAATACTCGACTACAACAAGATCATCGAGGCTCTGGCGCTGCCCAAAGGCCTCCCGGACACCAACCCGTACCGCTCCACGCCATGTAAGGCCGCACTCCACCCGACACCAGAGCACCGCCGCTCCCCGGCAGAGGCACATCTTTTTAAAAAAAAAAAAAAAACATGTTTTCGTAGCTGACGTCACCACGAGATTCGACCAAGTCTTCTGGTTCGGGGATTTTAACTTTCGCCTGGGCGGAGAGCGGGCGGACGTGGAGAGCATCATGAGTCGCTCGGCGGGCGGAGACATGAGCCCCCTGCTGGAGCACGACCAGCTCTCCAAGGAGATGAGCGACGGTAAGCCCCAAAGATCTGTTGTTGTTTTTTTTACAGGTATTTTGTAGTTTGTCTGATCACGGCCCGCCGACTCTTCCCCCGCAGGGTCAATCTTCAAAGGCTTCCAAGAGTCGCCCATCCACTTCTTCCCGACGTATAAGTTTGACATCGGCTGCGACAACTACGACACCACTTCCAAGCAGCGGACGCCGTCCTACACAGTAAGGGGAGCCTAACCCTAATCTGGTACGTTAAGGGGCTCCAACCCCCCCGGCAGCCGGCGCTCAGCCTGCGTTTGTGTGCACAGGACAGGATCCTGTACAGGAGCCGGCAGGCCAACGACATCAAGGTGCTCAAGTACACCAGCTGCTCCAGCGTCAAGACGTCCGACCACCGGCCCGTCGTCGCCGTCTTCCAGGTCAGGCTGAAGCCGGGAAGAGACAAGTGAGTCCCCCCCCCCACGCTTTGAATGGCTCCCCAGGCCCAAACGGCTCACCCTGAGCCGTGTCGAAAGAGGGGCAGTTCAGGCTGAGGCCATGAAAGAGCTTTAGAAAGTGTTTGGAGAGTATATCTGAAGGTTTCTTAAGTAGGGACAGATGGGAGAAGCTCATTTGTCTGCACTTCCCTGTCTGTTCCTCAGTATTCCCCTGTGCGGGGGGCAGTTTGACCGGAGCTTGTATTTGGAGGGAATCAAGAGGAGGATGACCGCCAGGGAGCTGAAGAAGAGGCAGGCCCTGACCAGTCCAAACAGCAGCACCATCTGCGCCATCTCCTAACCCGCTAGAATCAGCCCTCCAGACCAAAGTGGACTGGACTGGTCCCGTGCCACTGGTGGGAGGAGGACCAAAGAGGGAACCCAGTCCGGCGTCCTGGTGAGGCCGGGGGCTCCAGAGGGCAGAGACCTCCAGGTCAGACCAGGTGGAGGTTTGCAGACAGCACAAGTCTGGCCTTTATTTATTTAAGCTCCTCTGCTCAAACACGAGCGCAGCGGAGCGGGAGGGGCTGCCGTCGTGACTTATTTCAGTCTCATGCTTTGACGTGGACTGGTTTAACCTTACAGACTCGTTACCTGCACTTTTTTGCGGAAGCATCATGAAACATTGAGTTGCTTTTGTTGTTTTTTTTACGACCATTCTCAAATGCCTTGCTATTTATAACAAATTGCCGTAAATATTTCTGTTTTCTGAGCTGACTCGTTTCCGTTGCAACGTGGGGACAGATGGGAGGAACCGCTAGCGTTATTTATTATGAGGTCAAGTACACGGTTAACATTTCAGGAGCAAGACACAGATGAATGAGGGCACATCAGGGAGATTAAGTATTGCAAATGCCTTTAACTTTTCTTAAAGGAGAACAAAAAAGGTTGAACATTTTGCTGAGAAATGCCTGTCATTACTATTCTTAGGCCGAGAGAGCCTTTGCAACAGACCCTTAACACAATGCCTTACCTCTCTTCTTACTATGTAAACCCATACATATATACTGTACATGTACTGTATGTAGCACTTATAATCCTGCATTCCAAGCATGGAGACAGTAAAAGGAAAGTGCCTGTGGGTCTTACTCTTCTCTAAGACCTCCTCTTTTTATGTCATCTAAATAACAGTGTAATAAATGTTTTAAAACTCTACGTTTTGTGACCTGATTTTGTCCACCTGATAGAAAAGCAAGACCTCGTAAAATAAACATTTTTATTCCTGTATTTACATCAGTGTGCAGACAGTTAAGACTTTACATTATTTATTCACTGTGGTCAAGAAGTATTTCAACTGTAAGAAAACACTTTCTTAGTCTGACAAGTTTTTCCTTTTCTTAATTTTTTTCTCCCCCCTTTCGGACCAGCACGTCAGGCAAAAAGATACTAGTTTATTTTCATATTGCATCCATGACTTCATGTTAACAGATTAAACAATTCTCTGCTTGTGTAAATTACAAACTGACCAACCAGACATACTGCGATGCTCCATCAAAGATACATATGTATCAGTACGACCAATTAATATTAAAACTAACCCAAAAAAAGAAAAAAATGGGGTGATTTGCACAGTTCTGAATGTAAGGAAAAGCTTTTTATAAATTACTTCATCCACCAAACAGGTGCTACTTCTCTTACATGTTAGGTTAGCATAAATGCTTAACTTAAAATCCATATAGTGTCTTAAAGCTTGGCCATTCAAATGCAACACTCCATTGTTTTAAGAAAAAAAAAAGACTAGTCATGATTTCCCTCATTTCCAGTTTGCCATTTATGCTGAGCCAACATGAAAGCTAAAAGTGCCAACTTCCTTTCTTGTAATTCACCAGTTTATTTTTAAGGGAATCAACACAATCATGTACACACACACACACTCAGATTCTGAGGTTTCCCTTCAGATTCAGGCCTCTTTACACATCTTTAAAACCATGACTTTAGACCTATAAGAAACTAAAGTAACAACTGATCCAAATCAAACAAACAAAAACAACACAAAAGAGTCGACGCGCTTTCAAAAAAATAGTTCAACAATAAGCCGCTTCTCAGGCCGTGAAGTCAGCCTACCGACACTCATCCACAGACACCACGGCGGATAAGTATTACGCGTTTGTTTTTAAGGAGAAGTTACTTTATTTCAGGGGCCCACTGTCCCCTTAAAACCAAACCTGTATCGATGTATGGCTTCCTGCACACAGACAATAAATACAGATTTTCCAGCTGCTAGCTGTCTAAGATTACGGTGGAGTACAAAGTGTTTCTTTAAAATCCTGCCTCTCCCTGTGGGCGGCCCCGGTCCTCCCGGACCCGGGGGCGCCGGGCTCTGCTGGGAGGAGACGCCTGTGTGAACTTCCAGTCCGATTTCTGTACAGGTGAACTATAGCGGGGGTTGGTCTATCGGAAGAGGCGGTAGGTGCGGGGCAGGCGGCCGTCCTTGCTGGACAGCGCGGCCTGGATGTGTTCGTAGGAGGGCAGCTCGCTCAGGTCTCCCAGCGCCGCCACGGCCGGCTTGCTGCGCAGCATCTTGGTGGTCACTCGCTTGATGTCCGCCGCCGTCACGCCGCCTGGGGGAAATAACCGGGCTGTTAGTTTAACTCGAGAGCCGGAGGGAAAACCTGGCGGGGGGGGGGGGGGACTCACTTATCAGCTGACACAGCTCGTGGGGCAGCTTTCGCTTTCCTGTGGACAGCACCTGCCGGCCCACGTCTTCGAAGATGACCGGCCGCGACTCCAGGTTCATCATCAGCATGGACTTGAGCTGCGTCTTGGCTCTCTCCAGCTCCATCTGGGCGAGCGAGGGGAGGGGGGGGGGGGGTTAAAAAAACAAAACAAAAAAAGAGACGCACATTCGTCTGTGCTGGACGCTTACCTCTCCGGCGCTTCCGGCCATCTGGATGAACTCTCTGGTTATTATCTCCACCATCTCCCGCACCTGAGGATCAGCAGCAGCGGTCAGCAGCGGGACGACCCGGCCGTCCAATCAGAGCCCTGAAACACGCACCTGTCTGGGGTCGGCGCTGGCGTGGATGCAGAGCAGGCCGCTGTCCTCGTAGCTGTGGTGGTAGGACGTGGCGTTGTACATCCAGTGGTGCCTGCGGCGGAGAGACGGCACAGAGATGCGGGGGGCGGGGGGGGGGGGGGGGGGGGGGCAACGAGGCCTGTGCGGCGCTCACCTGTTGAGCACGTTCAGGTAGAGGCGGGTGAACATGCCTTTTCCGGGGCCTCCGGCCGAGAAGGAGCCGCCGCCGCCCATCATCATGTTGAGCACCGCGAACGGGATGAAGTCCTCCTCCTGAGAAAAGGGGGGGGAACCATCGGTTTTACGCCCCTCTCCCGGGTCGCCCGGGGGGGGGGGGGGG